GGGGCAGGGGGAGGGGCTGGTCAGACCATTCCCCTCGGATTTGGCCCGGCCTTGTGCGGACGGGTCGGAGTGGGACAGGGCTCACGATCCAGGTTGGACGCCCCGCCCCCCAGGGTCCTGGCTGGTGGGCAAGGGGGAGCATGGGGGATGGGCAGGCACCCTGAGGAGTGCCTGGGACCCTGCATTTCCCCCCATTTCTCCTCGTCTCCCTGGCAGCTCCTCCGTGGGCATCTGTCTTGACTCCTGTCTCCCCCCACATCCCTCCGACTCTCTCCATCTATCTCATCTGTCTCCATGTGTCTCTGTCCCTCATCACACCCATAATTCACCCTCACAGAAAGGAAACCAAAAGAGGAGAGGCCTGGGGTCCCAGGAGTATAAGTCCCCAGATGTCTCAGATCCTCGATGGGTCCACGGAGGACACTTGAGGATTTAATACCCACGGCCAGAACCCGCAGTGCAGCCCAGTCATTCCTACTGCTGACACATGACCACCCCAAAGGATGGAGATGAGGGTTTGGGGCCTACCTCTGTCTTTTTCCGGCATCAGGGGCTGGGGAAAATTGTTCACTTTGAGACCCTCAGTTTCCCATCTGTCAAATGGGAGGCAGCTGCAGCCTTTGCGATGGCTGGTGCTAAAAATCACTGGAGGGGCAGCCAAGAGAACAGGACCATGCAGTTTCCTGCTGTGTTGGCCACAGGAGGCCCTGTGTGTCCATCCTGGACCCACAAGGCTGGAGGCCCCAGCAGACTCAGGTCTGACTGTCCCAAGGCTCCAGAGCCAGATGAAGTTGTCCCCAACCTGTGGGGTAGGAAAGGTGGTGCACTGGGTAGAAGGGCTCTTTCTGGAGGCTAGGAAGGCTGAACTGAGAAGGCAGCACCAGTGCTGGGCCTCTTCAGGGTGAATAAGAGTTGGCCTTGGGATCAAGGAGGGAAAAGGCATTGCAAGCTGAAGGAACAGCAAACAGCATGTGCAATGCCTGGAGCTGTGAGATTAGAACTCATTCAGGGGATATGGTGATAGGGCTGGACTGGGGGAGATATTAGGGGTTGAAAGCAGGGCAAACTGCAGCTGGTGTTGCTCAGTGGTTGAGTATCGACTCATGCACCAAGATGTCTGTCACCAGTTTGATTTCTAGTCAGAGCACATGCCTGGGTTGTGGGCTCCATCCCTAGTAGGGGGCATGCAGGAGACAGCTGATGTTTCTCTCTCATAGATGTTACTATCTCTCTCTCCCTCTCTGTTCCTCTCGCTCTAAAAAATCAATAAAAACATTTTAAAGCAAGGCAAACTGGGAAAAGCTGAAATGGGGAAGGGGAACCCAAGGCTCTGGCTTCAGCTCTGCCTTGATATCCTTGTGTAACCTTGGGCATGCCTCTCTCTGGTCTCATTTTACCATTTTGTTCACTGAAAGGTTGGAG